TGCATGGGTTCCAGGAGGTCGTAGGCCTCTCCACTCACATACATACAACAATGAGTGCAGAGGATTATGATATGTGCCTAAGTGTGGGGAGAAGATTTAGAGCTTTCTTCCTATGCCCAAAGAGGTCTGTGACTTGAAAGATGCCAAAAACCTCTGCTGAAGAGTCAGATAGGAGATTTAGACAACTGGTCTACAAAGTAGCCAAATTTAAATGAAAACTTCATATCCATCGGAAAAATTTTTTCGTCTTCCTTTGTGTTTATTAAGAGAACTAGATAAATTCTGTTGATAATTTAATAGAAAAGACAAATTAATAATAATCCTACTGCATAGACATCAATATGGTAATTTTAAAAGATCAGCATTAAACTATCAGAGAAATGCAAATCAAAACTACAATGAAGTATCACCTCACACCAGTCAGAATGGCCTTTATTAAAAAGTCCATAAACAATAAATCCTGGAGAGGGTATGGAGAAAAGGGAACCCTCCACACTGTCAGTGGGAATGTAATTTGGTGCAGCCACTATGGAATACAGTCTGGAGGTTCCTAAAAAAACAAAAAAATGGAACTACTACATGACCTAGCAATTTCACTCCTGGGTGTATATCCAGAAAAGATGAAAACTCTAATTCGAAAACACATATACACCCCAATGTTCATAGCTGCACTATACACAATAGCCAAGACCTGGAAGCAACCTAAGTGCCCATCGAAGGATGAATGGATAAAGAAGATGTGGCATAAACATAATGGAATATTACTCAGCCATAAAAAGAATGAAATATTGTCATTTGCAGCAAGATGGGTGGACCTAGAGATTATCATATTAAGTGTAGTGAGTCAGACAGAGAAAGACAAAATATTGTATCACTTATATGTGGAATCTAAAAAAATGATACAAATCAACTTATTTATGAAACAGGAGACTCACAGACATAGAAAATAAATTTACACTAATAAAGGGGAAGGCGGGGAGGGATATATTAGGAGTTTGGGATTAGCAGATACAAACTACTATGTATAAAATAGATAAACAACAAGGTCCTATTGTATAGCACAGGGAACTATATTCAGTATCATGTAATAACTGATAATGAAAAAGAATGTAAAAAGAGTGTGTATATATATATAACTGAATCACTATGTTGTACACCAGAAACTAACACAACATTGTAAATCAACTATACCTCAATAAAATATTAAAAATAAAAAAATCAGCAATAGATCTCTCTACAGTTAAAAAACACTTTTTTTCCTTCTCTTCCTTTTTTGGATTCATCTATTACCCTGTGTATACTGATTTAGTCAGTACATTTATATCTAAGCACATATTTGTTTATGAAAGGCAATGAGATCAAATTTGTAGAAGACAATCAATACTTAAGAAAAAAAGCCTTTCACTTTTTTGACTTAACCAAATCTGCCCCCTTCAGATTTAAAAATGTCCTTATTAAATTGAAATAGTGCGTGATCCTGAATTTAGTCAAAGAGAAGTCTTACTTACCCCTAAGACAAGAGCATCTGCTGTAGAGATTTTTGAACAACACTCACACGAAGCCATACTACCAGCATTTCCTCTAGATGATTATGTCTCTAATCTTTGAAGATATCTTTGTTAGCAAACTTCTACAAAACAATACAAAACACATATACATATGCTTTGCTCAAAAGAGAATACTTGTTTCGTTTCCTATTGTTTTGCAACCACCTCCCCAAACTCAGAAGCAATCGCTTTCTGCTTTTCATGCCTTGTTAGAGGCATCAATTTGCATCCACCTATTCTGATTAACAGCTTCCATAACTGAAAAGCCCCCCTCTGTGACTAAAAATTATTGGCATATTACACTTTCCCTGAGTAGTGAAATTGTCTCCAGATGATAAAGTATAAAGAACACCCAGGGAAGAGTGTTAGAGGATTTTCAGTAAAGCTTTTAACGATTCATTTGCAATTTATAATTAAGTCAATGTATTGCATAATGCCATGTTTGCATTTCTGAAACCGAGTTCTTGGACTTAAACTCATCATTGGCTTGTGACTTTTTTCTGACACATACTTGCTACCTAGTTCTTCATTCTACGTGGATGAACTTTTTCCTGCCTCAGAGAAGGAACTTATCAAAGTTATCAAAGTTGCTTCCAAAATCCTAAAGGCCTTTTTTTGGTTTTGTTTTTCTTGTTATTCCTGCATTTCTCCCTGGTGTTTATATCACCTTCTTATTTACAGGAACATAAAAACTTGGCTAATAATTGTATCCCCTTCTGGGATTTTGTCCATTTGTGCGTCTGGAATTACATTGTTTAACATCTTCCAACATGACCCACTTAAGTCAATAACTTGACTTATGCCACTTGGCCATCCAGGTGATCATCTAATGGATAATCTCAAAACTTAAGCCTTGGACTGTTCAGAAATGAGGGAGGAGTTCGACTACATGATCTGCCATTTCCTGCACCTTTAAAATCTCATGATTCGATTATTTTAATGAGTCTTTGGTTTCTAAAATTGATTTCCTGAACGTCTCTAAATTCTATAATGTATAGAAACAGAAAATGCTAGGGTAAAAATACAGGAGCTGGTGATAGCAAGTAGAGAGAACAATATGTTAATAACTGAAATATAATGGTAAACTTTATAAATTCCAACATCTCCTTTGAGAAATACCAAAGGAAGAGTATAGGCCTAGAGGTAACCAAGATTAATCACTCTGCTTAAAAGACAGAATTACAGAATTGATATATAAAGTAATGAAGAAAAGCCATACCTAGATTGCTATTATTTGTCATTTTTCAGAGAAAAGGAAAATAATAAAATAAATCCTTTTGTGTATATAGAAAGGTTCTTTTCACATTTATAGTGGACAGTGGAAGAACCATGAGTGACTTTGGAAGTAGAAAATTTAGCATCACTCTAGACTCCATCAGGCCCTCACCAAAACCACCCCAAATGAGGTATTCATTAAAATACTAAGAAAAAAAAGTGTATGTGTGTGTTTAAAATCCTCAGCTTAATTGATGGAAGGAAGAAAATAAGAAATGCTACAATATATTCCTGGAATAAATGATGGCTAATTTTTTAAAAGAATTCTACATTATTACTCTACAACCCAGTTAAAAACTAAAAATAGAATATAAAAATAAATCATTTATTTGTTTTTATTTTCTGGTGTTCCCAGCACTAAACCAAAGGCAGCTGCAGGGTAAGTACCTAGCCCTTATTCTCACCCATATCCTCACCCCATAAACTTGCCTTACATAAAATTCTGGAACAGTCACAGAGTGCTCATGTCTAGAAACCACTTCTCTATCTTTAGCAGGGATGCAACTCCTCACTGTCTTCAGAATAAAGTTCAAAGTCTTTGGCAGGGCCTACAAAGCCCTAGATGAACTGCTCCCTGCCCACCTTCTCAGCCTCATCCTGGCCACTCACTAGGTTTCAACCCTAACAGCTGCCACAGAGACCTCTGGGAAGCCTCCTCTGTCTCATGTGTCTGTTAGATACTCCTCTCCTTGACCCCCTGACATTCTGTGCATACTTTATATTACGGTGCAATCTGAACTTGATTTTCAAGATTTGCTCCCAAGTCAGTGTGGGCGCCCAGAAGTCCAGAAATTCATTTCTGTATGTCCAGGGCCAGTCCTGGGCTGTGACTGAGAGACTCAACCTTGATGAAATAAACCACAATGAGGCATCACTTCACACTGGTCAGAATGGCCATCCTCAAAAAGTACAAATAACAAATACTGGAAAGGGTATGGAGAAAAGGGATCCCTCCTACACTGTTGATGGGGGTGTAAATTGGTGCAGCCACTACAGATGACAGTCTGGAGGATCCTTAAAAAACTAAAAATTGAAGTAACACATGACTGAGCAATTCCACTCCTGGGCATATATCCAGAAAAGGCAAAAACTCTAATTCGAAAAAATACTTGCATCCCAAAGTTCGTAGCTGCTCTATATACAATAGCCAAGACATGGAAGCAACCTAAGTGTCTATCAACAGATGAATGAAAAAGAAGATGTGGTATATACACACAATGGACTGTTATTTAGCATAAAAAAATAAAAGTGCCACTTGCAGCAACATGGATGGACCTAGAGGTTTTCATACTGAGTGAAGTCAGTCAGACAGAAAGATGAATATTAAATGATATCACTTATATGTGGACTCTAAAAAACTAATACAAATCAATTTATTTACAAAACAGAAAGAGATTCACAGACATGGAAAAGAAACTCATGGTTACCCAAGGGGGAAGGGTAGGGGATAAATTAAGAGTTTGGGATTAGAAGATACATATCACTATACATAAGATAGCTAAACAACAAGGATTTACTGCATAGCACAGGGAACTACATTCAATACCTTATAATAACCTATAATGGAAAAGAATCTGAAGCTGTACACTTGAAACTAGTGCAATATTGTAAATCAACTACAGTTAAAAAAAAAAAGACTGGAGGCAGTAGAGGGTAGTGAGGCCCAGCCTTCCAGTCTCCGCACAGGGAGGGAAGGAGACACACAGGAGGGTGGGGGTGGGGAGGCCTTGAAGTCTGTCTCCATGCCTCCTTGCGGCTTTTAACAGTTAAATCCCGTAAGCAAAGCGACATCATTACCCCTCATTTTACATGTTCAAGGTCCCAAGGATCGACTCTCGCCCTCTGAGGTCCAGACCCTGGCTAAAGGAGGAGGGGTCCCCGCGTGGGCGGGTCACCCTGCCCGGGAGAGCTTGTCCAGCACCCAGTCTGCGGCCTCCAGCCAGTACAGGCCCGGCTGAAGATGCCGATCTCAGCTGGCGGCGCCCTCAGGGCCAGGCCCCCATACCCTGCCCAGCCGCCATCACTGAGGGACCAAGGCGCCCAGGACCCAGCCGGCCCTCAGGCTCCTCAGGTCTCGCAGGTCTCCAACGGCAACAGCGGGCTCCTGGTGCGCCTGCGCAACTCCAGTCCCCAGGAGGGTGCTGGGAGCAGAGCGCGTGCGCAGACTCACTAGCGTCTGGCAGACCGTGCGCTCAGGCCCGCGCCAACTGCTGCTCGGTGTCTCTGGAAGTGGCTTCTCTTAACCTCCATTTCTGGTATTGGCCCGTCTGGTGAGCTTCTTATATATGCATCCGCTGCAGAGCAACCACGATGGCTGAAGAAAGTCAGCCCTTCACGTTCTTGGTTCTCAAGGAAAAATTTTGGCCACGTCGGCGCTTTAGAAAGTGTACGTATTGAAAAGTCTTGTAGCTGAGTCATTGACTCCTCTTTCTCTTATTTTTCAGACGTTATGTGGTGAAAGGAGGAAATTAATGAAGAGAGTATTTATCAAGACACTGGAATGACTTTGTGATCCACCGGCTGAGGTGAGTTTCGCTTTCAGGTTTTACCTGGCATCAGTTTTATATTTGACATGGACAGGAGTTAAAACAGTTTTTTAAAAAGAGATGTAAGAAATAGAGGTGGCAGCTAGAAGATAAAGAAGAGTCAGATCTGGGGACATGGATGAGGAAGTGGGGGGGGGAAACTGGAGCAAACAGTGTAATCATAAATGAACCGACAAGTACAGATCTCCTTGTTATGCACGACTTACTGAGGTGTTAAAGTAACTGGAGAGCAGCTT